CTTGGAGGTATTTTAGCACTTGCAGTGAAAGATGCAAAACCGCATCACTGGTTGTCAATGCTTGTGCAAAAACACATAGAAGACTGCTAATCAGTCAATGTGTCAGTTTCGATGACCGCCCACTTCTTTGGGAAGGGAAAGCAAACGCGCCAGACATAGTTTCCAGCTTTCCCATTCCTGTGCCAACTTTCCAGTTTCGGCAGAAGATAATCTGAGTCTAGAGCAAACTCCTAATTTATCTCAGGTTAATCTTGGCCGACCCCTAGGTCTTCTTCCGGTCGGATGGGTATGCAGTAGTTGCTAAGTCATTTTTCTGGAGGCATTTGCAACACGTGCCCAAACAATCGCAGAAGTGACTTCTCAACCTGATGAAGCAGCGGCTGTACACCAAGGTTTTCGTAGATGTCCGTGGACAAAGGCCAACGACTTGCCTCAGAAAGCCCATTTCAGCCGCTTGTATCCGGGATCGAAGTTTTTCAGTCATGGTCCATTACTAATGACCTTAGGTAAGCATGGGGATGAAGATCGACTTGAGCACCAAGATCTTAATCATCAGATTCAGCTCCGCTTAATCATCAGATTCAGCTTTGACCACTACGGCTAGGGCTAGTCAGGCAGAACGCAACCGGCTACTCCAATCTGTCGGTAGATTTCTTCAAATTTTTTATCACCAGTAAACACGACCCCGAGGTACTTGAACTTTTCCACCTGTTCCACAGCTTCTCTATTTGTTCGCAAATATAAACAAACACACACACACACACGGTTACGGACAGAAGCATTTCGGTAGCTGATCGAACAGCTTTTTGTACGGTTCTGCAAACTCATGCGGTTTTGTATCCATACAGGTGCTAATATTCTATGGAGCCGTCACCTGATTAAACGCTTCCCTAGCCTACACGAAGCTACGGGACAGTGTGATTACGTTGTGTAATGCGGAAAATTGGCAGAAAACTGCTATTCTAACCGGAAGCATTGAAAACTATAAGCCTGTTATTACACCTATAATTATGTCATATTAGACCAATGAGGTTATTTTTTATGCATATAAACTTCTCACAAACGACAAACATATTAAATGACGAAAAGATCAGTCGTACATAATGCACAGAAAGCCGACTGCATCACAATGGTAAATCCGCCAGACGATTATGAACAAAGATGGGGGAACACAAGAGAGCAATTTTCATCACCAAAACAAGGACAGAAAAGCGATGTATAGAAAGAAGCACTTGCTCTTAATCAAAACTCTAACGGAAGCAACGTGGACTTCAATAATACGATCACAGTAACAAAGGCTGGAAACTACGCAGCACGTTTAGATGCCGCAGTGCTCTTAATTCACACAAGATCAAACTTAATAAGGAGAGATGGAGGCGATTTTATCTCACTGTCTTAACGAAACTTTTGCAAGCTCGTGATAAATGGAAAAAATAAAATTTACATTTTAGATAAACTAATTTCATTACACCTTGACAATGTTTCACGACTATACTTCCATATCTTGTTTGAAGCTGATAAAAGCTGGCAACATCAGCCGAAAGCTTGATCCCATAAGAAATGTTTCTACCATGTGTGCAATTTTCATAGTTTTACACCTTGCACATT